CAAAAAGCATTTTAAAGAAAACTCTAAGGAAATATGCTAAGTGATTGTGTTTAAATAGTAAAATTTTAGTATTTTCCAAATTTTCTCTAAGTACAAGTTAATTATTTTTTAAAATGAAAAGATATTCAATCAAACGTGGTTCCTAGAATTTAGTCTTCTAATTCAAGAACACTATCAAATGCAGTATTATACAGCATAAGTAAAGCATTCTGTAATTCAAAGCATGTTAATAATTCTTTTATGCTTAGCATAAAARAGTTCATACAATTGTGCTAATCTGGAAAGTCTTCATGAAGCAGGTGGTCTATGAGGTGACTGTTAAGAATGGGAATGATAAAATGGAAAAGAATGGATAAAATTCTATTGTTCTTACCACATTGTATTTACCAATACCTTATAGTTTGCTGTTTCAAGTGGTGTGGGTGTGACTTTTGTTTCTTTAGTTTACGTGTCAAATCCCTGGGATTAAGGACTCTGTTTATATTCTGCATTTTCCTCTCACCTTTAATCGCATCCACCCAGGAGAACGTCTGTTCAGCAGCTCACAAAGCTTGTCAGTCATCCGCATGGACAGGGCCCATCCAAGTCAGTGAAGTCCTCTGAGATATAGTTTATAAGTGGAGTAACCAAATCAATGATACGTTTTCTCTGTTGCTTTAGCTCCTCTTCCAAGAACATCTGAGGAACCTCACACAGAGACAGATTTGAACTCCCTGGAAAAGGAAGATGATGGAACTAAATTCGAAGTCAAGGTAAAATTACTTTTCTTTCACTGGTAGAAATTTCTAACAGGATAGGATTGCCAATGTAATTCCCTCCCCACAAAAAATCAACAAATTGTGCTCCCYTATGATGTACCTATCATCACCTCCAAAAGATGTGCCCATGAAGGCACACAGCACAAAGTAGTGCTCCAAGAGCTAGTGTTTATAGGATTTTTTCTTTTCTTCCTTTCCTTTCATCTCAATTGCAGCTAGAAATGAATCCTGTTTGATCCTGTATGTACTTGCTGCTAGACAATGTTTTAAGGGAGAAGTCATGTTAGTTACTCTTGTAATCTGACTTCATATTTAAGATGGGTGGAATGGTGTGTGGTTTGTGTAGAAAAAGAGCATGAATGTTGCACAGAKCTACACACATGCACACACACACACCCACACCTGAACAACTGGGAAACCCTAAATAAGCTCTGTGTCGCACCTCAAGTCCATTCTATATTACACTATAGCATGTAAGATGTTAACATTGGAGGAGGTAGGGAAAAAGGTATGTGGGACTGCCCTATATATTTCTTTACAACCTCATGTGACTCTATGTAATTATTTCAAAGGGAAAAGAAAAGCATATGCTTTGGAATCAGACAGTYCTGGGGTTAARCATTATAACTTATATAAGCCTCAGTTTCTTGTCTGTAAAAATGGGGATAACAAGAGCTACTTCCTGGGAATGTTTTGAGCATCACATGAAAATTGGAAAATGGCCAAGCAATGTATGTACAATTGTAAAGGAGCGTTATATTTAAAAACACAAATAAAATGAATTTTAAATATATGTTGCTACAAGGCAAACACAGAAGAGTTTATACATTAAATAATCAGCTGGCTGAATGGTTCTGAAACCTGAGCAGACTATGGGCTCAGATGAACTTCAGTAACAGTTTGGATCCATCATCAGTCCCTGAAGGATCTGAATAGAGGACCTATAGCAACTCCACTGACCAGTAAGGAGTCAAGCAGAGAGCAAGTCTTAGGCTTTTTTTCCTGGAAGCAGAAAGAGGGTGGAAACTAAAGTTCCCAGCAGACTTCTTAGAGAGAGCAAACTACATTCTTCTGCCAATTAGTCATCCTTTGTATTCTAGGCAGATCAGGATTTTGCTATCTGTTTCCAAATCTCACTTAGTTGGAGGAATTGCATCATCCTTGTCTTTTGAGTAAGGAAACAGTTTGCATTTCATACTATATTGATCAGTCATTTAAAAAAGTAAATGGTAATTTTTTAAAATATGTAAACACAGTGAAACTTCACCTGACTTGACACCCTTAAAGTCTGTGGGATTATTAAAAAGGGACACCATCAGCCTATCCTTCTCTGCACCCTAGACTTCTGGGGGAACATCATCCCTAGCCCARAAGTGTCCCCCTAAACTCTTATGATGTTGCCATTGACTCATAAGATGATTAGAACTTACATCTCTTGTGACTTACTTTGCTTGTCATCAGACAACACATTTATAACCTACGCAATTAAAAAAAAATTGTAGTTGTAGATGGACATAATGCTTTTTTTTTTTTTATGTAGTGCTGAAAATCAAACCTAGCACCTCACCCAGGCTAGGCAAGCACTCTGCCACTGAGCTACAACCCCAACCCCTGATCTACACACTTTTTAAAGATACCATGAAAGTTTTAAGTACATGGAGGTTCTCTATAAAAGAATTCAAATTAGAAGTAAATTATTTTAATAATTGTGAGTGTTAAATAGAAGACCTATTTTTGTTGTAAGTGAAAAATTAGGAGCAGGGGTGGTAGGTACAGAATCAGAGGCCTCTGGGCTTGGAAAGCATTGGGTAGGACCCAAGARATTCTGTCCTCTAGACTGTTGGTTTCTTCCTTCTGCTATGCTGCTGTTTCATTCAGATTCTAAGTCCATTCTGCTAAGGGGCTAGCTCCCTCCATGTGTGTGGGAAGATCACCATCAGCCTGRGTACTGTTAAGCAAGCACATGTGCGTGTTTAAATCCTGCTTCTACACTTAGTTGCCTTTTTCCTTACTGTTGAATTGTGTGTATAATAAGGGCTTTTCCCAGAAATGTGTGTATGTTAACAGTCAAGGTGGTGGATGAAGTAAAGACAAGCTAGTTAAACTTTTGCTTGTAAAGACCAATGCTATGAGAGGACTGTAAGCAGAGTCAAACAAAGTCTTGAACAACATGAATAGGAAGAAAGTGGATTATGCACAAAATCCCCAAATCCTAAACTGAGAAGTCTAGAACCAATAAGTGCAATTATAAGCTGGGTAGTAGAATCAGGGAAATAGTTATTCCAGAATATGCAAGAAATGTAGTAAGAAACAGGATAGGAAAGAACATGTAATGAATATCTGCATGGACCTCTGCTTATTAAAAGGGAAAGAAGGAGAGAGCAGTCATTATTGTTATTTACATTTAGTGCCACTGTCCAAGACAGATGACCTGGCTGGATAGAGCAGGCATGCCTCTGAACCTGAGTGGCAGTTCTGACATCCTTTTGGCCTTGGTTCTAGAACTGAAAGATTTTTGAAATGAAGTCACTCACAGTGTGACAGAGTGAGTCATAACATCATGATAAATGCCACCCCTTTCCCTGAACAGTAAATATTCAGAGAAAAAAAAATCTGTCAATCAAAGCTGTTTATACTTGCTACTAGAGTCACTGATGATTACCTTTAACTAAAACCATGATATGGTTTGAAATTGTTTGAAGAATCATTGCCCCAAAAGGCTCTTCGCTGCTGGGGTGAACCTTGCTGTGCCAGTTCTCTGCAACATGATAAGCCAAACCTGACAAGGCAGCTCAGGCTGTCCCCAAGGCAGCTGAGACTGTCCCTCAGCTYACTGGGAAAGCCCAGAGGTGGAAGAGATTCACTGTGGTTGTTGGCAATAGTGATGTGGCCATTTCCTGTTCTGCCTGTCTTAACTGGAAGTTGAAAGCATGACTCATGGAAGCCGCCTCCCCCACTGCTCACATCATAGCCTCTACGGAAGACAGAAGCCAGAGGCTGACCAAGGGCTTTTTCCTGAATTGCACCCACAAAGGTGCAAAGTGAAGAGTGAACAGTGTATCTGGTCACCTAATAAGTTGTTTAAAGAAACAGAGGCTTTGCAGGCTTCTGAGTAAATAGGCTCCCTAATTTAAAAAATATAAATATTTTTAAAACAAAGGCTAGAAGGAGAATTGGAGAGGCAAGGGGAGCGTGGGCCAGGCACTGTGCTAGGAGCTGTAAGAACCTGATTTCAGCTCCATTCCTCAGTACCTTGAGAGGAGATTGTTAGCCCTGATTTCATTAGCAGTGATGGAAAGACTCAGAGATGCTGAGTTCTCCAATGGCCATCCTACTCATAAACAGTGGAGCTGACACTTGAATCAGCAGTTTATTAATCTGACATTGTCCTTGGCTACCTAACTTATCTGATTATTTACCTAATTTACCTAGCAAGCAGTTAATTTCTCATATCCTAAAATTCCTCTTTCGCAAAATGGGGACAAATAACAAATAATTAGCAATTTCATGGGTAGATGAGTTGAAGTTRAGTAAATGAGGAACTTGTAGAGCCACCTGGCATGATGCCCAACACACAGCAGACTATTAGGGAGTTTTAGTTTCTCACACAATCCTATGTTTATAGATAGAGTGTCCTGTGTAAAAGATGAAAAGAAGCTGAAGGAAAGTTAGATTTGGGCCTTAAATGGAATTCTAATATGCAGGCCTTTTTGCCAAATGAGAACAGATTAGGAGCCATATTTAGTTCCTTAGTCCCAAAAGTTTTATTTAAGCTTTCTGATTCTCAACAAGAGACCTGTGTGAACTATAAACACATTTTGGTGCTCTCCTTCTGATACTTGACAGGAAATTGAGGGACCTCAYCAAATTCTTGAGGCACCCCCAACTAAGCTCTCCAGAGAGCTTCCAGAAGGAAGAATCTAAAGGTTTCCTGCACCCACCCCCACCCCCACCCCCAATGCTGAGAGCCTTAAAACAGATCCCCAGACTCTACCACAAAGATTCTGGTTAGGGAGGTCTTGGGTAGGATCCAGGAATCTGAATTTTCTATCTGCACATTTAGTGACAAGAGTGACCAGGATACAATGACCACACTTTTGAAACACTGTGCTAGATCCACATTCATAGGCCATGGGGACTTGGACAAAGGAGGACTCAAAAAATTGGATCTAGATCTCTCTAGCTAATATCGAATTCAAAGTTTAGARGAGAAAAGTGTCAATTACACTTTGCTCACCAAAGAAACTGAATCAGAAAAAAAGAATGACATTAATACCAATATAAAAATCAACATGACTAAAACATTTGATGGATCCAGTTTTGGCAGTTTAYTCAGCTCAATTTAATATTGTTTGAAGCAATTTGATGCATTATATGAAAATCATTCTGTCATTGGGCTTAACCTTGAAAACATGGAAATTTCATGGGAGAAACACATATTCAGTACTTTGTAATATAAAATAGAATGACTTGCTCACAGTCAACAAAATACAATGTGTTTGAGGGCAGARAAGGAGCAGTTCATAATAAGGATATTGGGAATGGTTTTCCAAGGAGTGGCACCATCTTTAAAGAATAAATACCACTTTTAAAGGTAAGTTAGACAGAGAAGGGCATTCCTTGATGGGAAGGATATAAAGTCTCCAAAGTCTGAGGGATATGGTCTATTCTGGGAATRGTTCAAGAATGCAGAGAAGGTCAACCAGAGAAAAGATTTTGAAGACTTTGGTAGAGGATTGTTGATGGAAGGAGGARGGTGCTAACAGGCAGACAGGCTGACACCTGGCAGCAGTTGTCACAGCTCAGGTGAAACTTCAGTGGTGGCAGCAGCAAAAAGGGAAATGGACAGAAATTTCATTGACCCAGTGTTCTTCCCATGGCTGGAACACACTAGACTCACAGAGAAAGTTTGGTGCACAAAGGAGTAGATCAAGGCAGAGAAGACAAGGGCAGAATTTAATAGGGAAGGAAGAAAGATATCAATGATACCTCTG